GGGGGGGGGGCTTCGACCTGAAAGATCAGGGGTTAGGATTTGCACCCGATCGAAAGAAACCTTGCTATCGCAAGAGTAACTCCAGCTAGCTTCGCTAGCTTTCGTGACTACTACGGACGCCTTCTTCCCTGCTAAAACGTCTGAAGATCGCCCTGCTATGCGATTTCGCCTGCCCCCCCTTCAGGCAGCGGCTGCGGCATGGGCCTTCTTGGCTAAGCTTCGATACCTGCCAACAGCGCCGGTTCAAACAGCTTTCTGGGAAGTCGGACTTCACCGCGAGTCGGACGAGAGGTGCTATTCACCAAGGTTTTTTTGAGGTGTATGGGGAGTCGGCTCGCCAATGTGAACATTGACTTGTTCAGAAAAGGAGCACCTTGGATTTTGCTGGTCCTTGGATCTTTGGGAGACCAAAAGCACCTGTCCATCACTTTCCTCTTTGGGGAACATCCAAAGCATCATCCGTTTCTCCGCCAAAACCGGCGTCACGCCAAAGGCGTTGAAAGGCCGTGGTGAACATGTTTTTCAGCCTTGGAAGGCCTGGCCTTCACGTGAACACGGTGTTTCACGCCATGTGCGACTCGCGACCCGCGACGTCCTGCCGACCCACGCGTTCGGCCTGGAGGCTGCTGCCTGGGCATCTTCGGCCTGCATGGGAGGGAGGGGAGTCCCAGAGGGGGGCTGTGTATGAGTGTGAAGGTGATGAGTGTGATGAGTGTCACGGAGAAAAAGGGAACACATCATTTCACAAATTGTCATACTTGATGTCAAATTTGCGCAGGTCGTTATTTTTTTGAATGGAAGACATAATATGAAGAAATCGACTCTTCAAGTGACACATCAGGAAGATGATCATTATATATGTTTATGGAATCCATCTTAAAGTGTGAACATTTAGATTCCCTATCCCTCCGGTCTTGTTAATTGTCGACTCTCCGACATGGAAGACATCCTGTACCACCATGACGCCCCAAACCGGGTGCAGTTCCGTTCCCAACCGCACTTTGCGGAAACAAGGTAGAGACTGACTTGTTCCTCCCCAGCTCGCATTCTCCTGAGCTTGTGGTTCAAAGACCTCCACAAACTGCAGAACACTTGGACTCTCAACAAAGTTCATCTTTCGTGAAGCAGCTTCAATCCAGACCACAGGCGGCACCACCCTGTTTTCACGCCGTTTCTTTCTTTTTCCCCTTCGCTGCCCCGCCTTCCTCCCGGTGTTCCGTATTCCGCTTCGGCTCTGGTGTCGTGTCAGTCGGGCCTGGTGTCTCAAGGCAGTTGCCTCCCGGTTCCTCATGCCAGCCAGCACCCTGCGTCGCGCTGCGTCGTTTGGTCCCGGAGACCAACACCACCCGAGCTTCCAGGAAACGGCGCACGAGACGGCGCGAGCGCAGGAGGAGCGGTGACTTGGAGAGTGGCGGTGACCAAAGGGTTTGGACTAAAACTCCCCCCCCAGAAGGGGATTGACATATATATGATATATGGATCTACCATGATTGAATTCGAGTTCGGGACAAAACCAACACCCCTTATAAGATCTTATAAGCAAAACCATCCAAGAGAGGGTTGAACAGCCCTTTTTCGCCCATCCCACATACGTACCACGACTGCAGGCCGGGTCGCGAGAGGGCGAAGGCCACACGATCGGTGAACGACTGGATCGTGTTTTGAAGGAAACTGGTCTGCTCCAGTCGTACCATTCATCCCAACAAATGGAATATTAAGGGGAATACTGGGTACCTAATGGAATTCCATGTTCAAATTCCATTCGAGCCCTGCTCCAGTCGTATCTACCTTCGCCCTGCTCCAGTCGTAGCTCCTGGCATCCATCCACCCCGACCATCCCAGCGAACCGTTTTAACACTTCGGTCCAAACGGGCAGTGTTTGGCTTCGTACTGAGCACCTCAGGCGGCTTCGATGTCTGATTTCGGCTGAGAGCTTTTCCCATCCGACTCGGACAGCTGGAGCTCCAAATGATCCGAAGACACACGATGATGAACTACTCAAACAAAACAAACACCTGGGGTCTCACAATGACCAAACCACCCGTGAGCCAAACCACCCGTGAAACAAACCGGGTCGCCGGTCCCCGCCGGTTCCACCGCCGGTCTCCCGCCTGTCAGACTGTTCCAGCCTCTTGGCTTCTTTCTCAGCATCATCCATCTGTATCTGGGCACCGACCGACTTCTGAGCCATTTCCCTTGGACACTTCCGGGTTCACCAAGCCCTAGGCCCTAGATCAGTCGAAAGATGACTCTGGGCACCCACGAAGTAAAGGAAATGCCTGAATTCGTTGAACACGGTCTAAGCAAACATCTCCACCTCTTTTATTTTTCAGTTGCATTTCACCATCAACATAACCAATCCCCCAATCAGTAGCTCAAATGGTTTTGGTCCGCGTCTAGACGCGGAAGGTTCCCGCAGTTAAGGCGGGTGAAATTGAGGGGTCGAGGGTGAATTCACTTAGTGAATTCTATAGCCCTAAGAATCCTTGGGCTCTCCATGGCAGGGGTCCGGACCCTCAAAACCCATCAAAACCCTATGTGTTTGAGGGCCCGGATTCTTAGGGAGCCACAAGTTCACCCCCTCAATTCGCTCGGGGCAGCTGATTTGTTCTTCAGCGTCCATCGAATCTCCCGATCGCTCATTTGAGCGACCTCTCTGATGACTTGATCGCTGCTGAACATGTTCTGAGCAAACCTCGGGCTGGACTCCCTGAGCCAAACCTGGAAGATGGGAGGTCTTCAGGATTCCTGGCATGGTGCAAAACACCAAGCAACCGAGCTGTTTTGCTCAGGATTTTGGACTACAACACCAGATCTTTTCACTTTTTTCACTTGTCTTGGAAGGCTAGGGCTAGAAAATGCTAGAAGAAGATCGTTAGGAATTCCATCTCACACCTCACACTGCTCCTTCCATGGGGACACATCAGTGACGCACATTTATGTCATCTTTCCCGAAAACAACACAAACAAAACCCATCCATCCGCTCAAAACCAATTCCTCCCAACTGATCCCGTCCCAACTCCCGATCCGAAACGCATGAAACGCATCCCGCCTCCGCTTCGCGCGCGGTCACGTCGGAGTCCTCCGCCAGCTTCCGGTACTCCGCCTCCTGCTGGACGCCTCAGTGGGGGGATGGAGGGCGGAGGGCGTTGGGGCTGGATGAGTTCAGGACCATGTGACCAAATGGTTCCCTAGAGGTCAAGGACCTCCTTTGACTGGGTCCGGTGATGCAAAACCAGTGCTCAATGAGGTAAAGGACCAGGATTAACTTGGTCCTTGGACTTGTAGGGGCGTGTAGGGGTTCATTGACTTTGAAAGGATCCCAAAGGTCTTTCTTTCCACTTTCCGTGTCTCCCTAGCCTGAGAGGCGTTCCGTTTTCCGCACGAAGCGTCCGTTCTATGATAGACTTGCCTTTTTTTGCAGATCAATTGGTAGTTGATGGAAGCAGCGTTCGTATCTTCCTGAAAACCCAACCAACCAGAAACAAATGGTTGTTCCAATAAGGCATTGAGGTCCTTTACATAGGAAGTGGCTGAGACTAGGGAGTCTGGTTCTGGTTGTTTGGGGTTTCCAGGTTTCTTTCTGTTCCAGGGGGCGGAGTTTGATTCGGTTTTCTTGCAAAAAGTAACGCATCAGGAAACACTGAAAGAGCACCTAAATCCTTCCAAAAACAGCCCCTCCTTCATCTTGATTGTCTTGATATATGGGTTGGCTTGTGGTTAGATTAAAGCTAAGAGTGGATCTTATATGTATGTCCTTGATTGTCCCGACCCCAAACCCTTCAAGAAAGGGGTTCAGGCGACACCAGTACCATACACCATGCTTCCATTGTTTACTCAAAAGCCCAACTAACCTTCCCAGCACTACCACCTACCAAGGCCTAAAAACTGAACACGAACACTTTTGAGGATGTTGATGAGTGGTAAAAGGGCTTTGCCCGCAAGCCCTCAAGCTCGCAAGGCCTAAATTCATCCAACAGGTCATATGGACCCTCATTTCACTGACTCTGGGAAAATGCCAAAACAGTACTCAATGAGGTCGGTTGGACCCAGCTTTTTATGGAAGGTCTGACTGGACCAGTTCGAGAACGTCGGATTTGCTGTCCAGAAAGCTGGGTGTTTGACCAAGAACTCTTCCCCATGCTAGGGGATTCACTGATAGGAAAAACCACACTCACCGTCACCGGACCTAAGCAAACCCGGAGGACACACAATTTCTAAGATCTGTGGAACCTCCGTCTGTGCAATCCCGCATCGAACACCTTTCATCCTCGGACAATGACCGAGATGCCAGTGGTGACGCCACCGGCATAGGGCAAACTAGCCTGATTCGCCACCTGTGAAGGGTTTGAGATGCCGCAAACTGCAAACATGACTTCCTCTGTAGATTAAGAATGCCCGGGATTCAAAGCAGCTTTGATTTAATGACGGTTTTGCCCAAGAACCGCTGTTTTACCAAGGGTAGACTACAAAAACCAGGTCCACCGAACTCTTTGAATGGTCTTTGAAAGCTCTTAGGGTGTACTTTCTCCTTCTGGGAGGCACTTCGACACCCTTCCACGATTCTTGCAAATCTTGCGCCCCCTTGTCCACATGTGTCCACCCCCCAACACTTCCACACCTGGGCAAGCGACAAGACGGTGGACGTTTTGCCAAGTTCTTGCCCAGGTGAGTCCACTTTCTCTCCCAGGTGAGACCTTTCTCTCAAGCAGAGTCAGGTTCTGAGGTCTTGAGGATCGCCATGGCCCTCTAGGTCCAACTAGGTCCTCTAGGTCCAACTAGGTCCTCCAGGTCCAACCAGGTCCTCCAGGTCCAACCAGGTCCTCTATAGGTCCAACTCCATTGGACTGGAAGCCAAGCCACGCCATGCCACGCCCCCCATGTCTAAGTCTGTGGGTCCAGTCGACTCTTCGTTTGGAACAGAACAACATATGCAGTTGTCTTTCGATGACCCCGAGTTCGGAACATCTTTTACTTCGGTGGTGCTAAAGATCGTGGAACTGGACTTCTATAGGACCTATAGCTATAACAAGAACATGGTCCCATGGAGGGTCCGGGATGTTCACACGAATGCAGAGACCATCCTCTAGCTGTCCAACTGTCCACCACTTCCGGTCAGCGGCCATGAAATCGCAGCGTCTCCTGTGTTCAATGGTTTTTTGCACGTGCGAAAAAACACATCCACAGACACTTGTAACTCCATGGATCTTGAAACTTTGAAAAACAAAAACAATTCAATAAAAAACACATCACTTCTATCACTTCTATCAGGCCGATCACTTCTCCTTCGTCCGAAAAAAAACCCAACAACAACACAAAAACAAGGACCTTTGCAACTTCAATGGATCTTCAGCACGCAAAATGACGCATCTCCCGGCGCAAGGGACTCTCCTCCTGTGTCTCGCCCCTCATGCGAACGAAGAACTTCAGAATTCATCACCAAATTTTTCGACTGACGATTTGTTGGGCACCACCACAGAAACCGGGATTTCTCCACCCTAAGAATATCTAAGAATTCCTTACGGGCTCTCCATGGCAGGGGTCCGGACCCGACACCTTCGCAGGGGTTCCGGACCCGAACCAAACCCATATATGTGTTGAGGGCCCGGATTCTTAGTTGGTTCGGGTCCCTTGAGAGCGTTTTTGACGCTTGACTTCTACATGATCCCATGATGAAGTCTCCATTTCCCAGTCGATCCGTCCAGCCCAACGTAGACTCTTGAAGGATGGGAGCACGCGCCATTGGATTGCAAAACATCCAACAGAGGTTGAAGAACCCTACAGGCTATCACAATAGGTACCCCAGTAGGGTCCTATAAGGTCACTTAACCTCTCTTGGATTGTAAAAGCTCGTCATCCTTGGGGAGCCGAAACCTGTATCATCAAACATCGCAGTAGTTTCGCCTGCCCACCAGCTGCCCCTCCCCGAAACCTGCGCACGCGTCGCAAGGGCCCCATGCAAGGGCCCACACGCGCGTCGCAGACGTCTTCTTCGCCCACCTGCGCACGGAAGTTGGCTACCTCAGCCTGGTGCATCCGCCGCACGAAGCTCTCAGCCTCCGCCTGCGCCGCACCGGCCGCCGCTTCAGCGATGATCCTGGGCGGCGAAGCGTCTTCTTCTGGTTGTCGTCGCGGTTGTTGTTGTTGTTGTTGTTGTTGTTGTTGTTGTTGTTGTTGTTGT